GACGGGTCTTACAGAACTTAGCTCCGGCCGCATAGACAGTTTCCACAAGCTTGTCATTCATATAGTCTTTAAAGTTTTCGGGGCTTTGGATTAGAGCACGAGGAGGACGGAGCGTTGACTTCATTAGACGTGACCTTTCCAACTTAACGTTTAGATTCAGTAGCCTCTCACCATTAGGAGATTGCTGCCAGGTTTCACCCTCGCGATCACTGAGGCCTCACTGAACAGTCATCGTCTGGTCGTCATAATGAAGTCAATCTTATTTTTTTACGAACCATCGGGTCTCGACTAGGTACATTTTATGTTGGGCTGCTTCTGGAAAAAAGAATTCATCATAAAGAGTTCCTCTTTCTCCATGACGTTGGCCAGCCGCTGGCCCCCTGGGTTCCGTTTCCCTATTCCGAATTTCCCTACTTTCAGCTCACCGTTCTCTCTTGTACCTAGTTTTGCGTTGAAGTCTTCCATTAACACCGTATAGTGAGTTTTGGAAGAATGAATAGCACTAGAAATATCTTCATACATTTCCTTTTTTTATAGGATAAGGGTGACAAGCGAGCACACAGTCCACCTGATGGTAAGTGGTTGCTGTAGCCCATAGACATCTACATCTATCCTCGTTTGCGAATCAAAATTCAAATGCGTTGTCAGCCGTGAGGACTAAGATGGAATGCCTTTTTTCCAGTAAAAAGGGTCTCCGGCTCTCTACATTCACCATACGAAACACAGCAGCATTAAGCTGCTATTTTACACTGGTGTCGAGCCGACCCAGTCGTGCTACAACTATACAATTAATATAGCTGCAGAATGGTATGGCCACACGTATAAAACTAGTTCTTTACCTCCTCATCGGGATGTGACGATGTTGGTGCGTAAACCTGTATGACCTTAAGAGAATACCGTTTGGTGATTCTGAGTATAAGATACGCAATCCTCGTCGACACACTCCCAATCTTTATAACGTTGTTAACGAGAGACTTGTGGACGATAAATCCGACACCTCCTTGAGATAGATGGTTGCTCTCCCGGTGAAAGAACAACTTGTCCTCGGACCTCAGATAATTCTATAAGATCCCAGCGCAACTTGTCTATCTCTTCTTCCTGCTCCAAGATCTTCTCGTCAGTTCTCAGGGTACGTGCGTTATATGTTGCCAGGTTAAGTTGTCTTAGGTTGCAACCGCACGTCTACCGGAGATTTTAGTACCCCCCACCCCACCTTTAACATGGTCGCCCACCGCCGGAGTCTGGGGGCCGTTTATGGAGGGTATATTGCTTAGCTGCCACGCTTGGAAATTTTTGGCAACCGCAGTTTTTTTTATTGCTTTTTGCTGTTATCAGAAAGATGTTGATTCCCATCTTCTGCCTCAGTTTCCCTTTGTCGCTTCTTACGACACCCACGGGAAGACATGGGGTAGTGGGTATTCTTACCCGGTATAACGCGGGTAACTGCAGAGAGGTGTAAGACAGGGTGACGTCATATCCCCGAAACTCTTCACCGCTGCATTGGAAGAAGGTTTCAAGCTGCTGGACTGGAAAGGATTCTGTATTAACGTCAATGGCGAATACATCACTCACCTTCAATTTGCCGACGATATAGTCCTTATGACAGAATCGCTGGAGAACCTAAGCACTATGCTCAATGACCTGAATAGTGTCTTCCAACGGATAGGTCTTAAGATGAACATAGACAAAACAAAAGTCATATGTAACGTTCATGTCACACCTAAGCCTGTCAGTAGTTGTAGGGACCACTAAGCTCGAAGTTGTTGATGAGTATGCTCACTTGGAACAAATAGTTCCACTAGGTAAGTCCAACTTCGATCGAGAGGTCAATCAACAGAATCAACTCAGCTGGGCAGCGTTCGGGAGATTATGACGAAATCTTCTCGTCAGACATACCTCAAAACCTTAAAACGAAATTGTACAACCAGTGCGTGTTGCCAGTGATGACCTATGGATCTGAGACGTTGTCCTTCACTGCTAGAGAGGGCTATTCTCAGGATTTCTGTGCGCGATAGACTTAAAAACGAGGATACCCGCAGTAGAAAAAGGATAACCAGAGTAACTGACATAGCCCAACGGATTACGAGAGTAAGATGAAGCAGCAATGGGCCGACCATATAGCTCGAAGAATCGACAACCGATGGAGAAGCAAGGTTTGTGAGTGACAGCGTCGTACAGGCAGGCAGTGTAGAGCGTTCCCCCAATAAATGGAGTGACGACCTGGTAAGACATGAATGGTTACAGGTGGCCCGGGACCGTGCTTTGTGGCGTTCCTTGGGGGAGGTCTATCTTCAGCAGTAGACTTCTGAAGGACTGTAATGATGATGATGATGATGATGAGGATTAGGTGCATTCTAAATTTAATTCTATTAGCTTCCTGGAGAGTTTGAAAATTGTTTCAGTTTTAAGACGATTCGTCATCCGACTAGTGTGAAAAAAGATTTCGTAATGATATGACATCCTACATGTAGAAACGGGCCGTCAGTAACTTTGATAAAAATAAGGTGTTAAAGATAATTACGAATAATATGGTAATTATAATTAGCTTTACTGTAGTATTTTAAACAAAAATAATTTCAAAACTATACATGTATAGGAAATGACAAGCGATGGGGAAGAAATGTTCTCGTGTGGCAGTTACGTTAGTACAGTCTTGGGCGACCCCCTCTTGGTTGGTGGCGGAATCTTGATTGGCGGTGGAGCAATAGACCAGATCCGTTGCTGGGGTCAGGAAGGCTGGTGCTTCTGAGTGCTGGTATTTCATGGCCCCATGGCCTTCGCGCATCGGACACGGGGCATCCGTTGTGCATGTGAAGTTGGAGGCCGCGGAGGAGGGCGCGCCATGTATTCTGGTGCGCCTTACCTGAGTAGTAGATGGGGGAGAAGTAGGCCTCTCCCGAGGAGGGGCCGCCATGAGGCTGCCAGCGCTGCCGGGGCCGCGGATGTTTGCGAAAGCGTTTCCGTGGCCCAGCCAATATGCGGCGAAGGTGGAACACCATGGGGTTTTAGTCATACCCCATAACCCGTCATAGCCCCCGCGAGGCGGATATGCGTAGGCACTTCCCCATGTAAAAAATGTATTCAGGGACCCCCACGGTATGGAGTGATGACCTGATGAAACATGCAGGGGGTCGATGGATACAGGTAGCATCTGCCAATCTAAGGGGGAGGCCATGTTCATTAGCAGACTTGTAATATGTTGTAATGTTTAAAGTTAAACCTTAAAGTTGATTAAGTTTTGATTGTAAGAAGCAAAATTTAAAGCAGGTATCATTGAAATTGTTGACTTCCCAGTGCTCACCTGTGAAGTTATCTTAAGGAAATTCGCATGTCACTATCATCATAATATTATGTAGTAGGGTTGGCAACTCTAATTAGGACAGACACTAAAGTAACTCATGACATAACAATTTTTCATCCCTTATAGATAAGTTTTAAGATATTATGCGACAAAATATGCAGGAAAATGCATTTTCTTAAAGTACTCTTCGCCTCGCCTGTTTCATTTAAACGACCAACTGACCTATATTTAACGTGCTTCAAGTTAAGAGCAGCATGAAGCTCACAATTGCGTAAAAAAGTAACAAAAGGAGGCCGGATTAGTAAAAGATTTGTGACTTACAAAAAATATCGCTTGCCTGACACAGCTGTGCAAGTATACAAAAATACGACATTGACTTCAGTCGGTAAATCAGACAAAGTATTCGTTACCAAATATAAAAAAAAACTAATAAGAAACTTATTCATTCCTTCCCCATTCTCAAGTTACAGTAACATTTTTATTAAATATAGAATAAAGGAGACAAACGAGCACACAGTCCACCTGATGGTAAGTGGAGCTGTAGCCCATAGACATTAACAATTAAATTGAGATTCGTTGTTACCTTTGAGGACTAAGGTGGAATGCTTCGTTTCCAGTAAAAAGCGTCTTTGGTTCTTTAATCATACAAAACACAGTAGAGTTAGAATGCTATTTTAAGCTGGTATTCTGTGAGAGTAGAGTCCTTTTTCTGTGGATTCGAGCTGCAAACATAATATAGCTGCAACGTGACTCTACCACGTACAAATATAACATAATACAGAAGTACTAAGTAACTGATCTAGTTGACAATGTTCTGTCCTATCCGTGGCGCGAAAAAAATTACTCCGAATTTACTGCGGACTACAGTGTAAGTAAAAAATTAATATGAATTCGGCCATAGCTGTCCAGTCCAGATTTAGTGATTATCTTTTTGATTATGTTGGTTGTGTTCGATTTTTTTCCAGTAGAGAATTTAACAACAACTTGACTACCACGCCACCTATCGAATCATCATCATCATCATAATTACAGCACTTCACAAGTCCAATGCTGAACATAGGCCTCCCCCAAGGAATGCCAAAAAAAATCGGATCATAGCATAGAGTAAATATAATAAAGTCAATCGGTCAAGTCGTTTAGAAGTAACATGATTACTTGCTGGTGACGATTATTATACAGTAACGATTATTCTTGTAGAATTTAAAGTCTGTATGATGTTACTGTAACTTGCTGTCTATGTTTTTAATATAGTGATCTAATGTTATTCTTAATTTTAAGTTTTTAATTATTATAAATTACATTCAACATAACAATTAAAATCATTTAATGACTGTCTTTAAACACGCTTTAATTGGCTCGACCTGTTTATAGCTTTTTTTTTTTAATTTAGCTTTTAGCCGTTCCTAGCGGTCCGAATAATATGAAATTATACAGACGTATTACCAACCGATAACAATATAATAATTTTATAATTATGACCATAGACTTAGAATACATACTGGATTATGACCTAGTATTTTCACTAGGATTATCACAGAGCTTATGATCAATGCATGTTGTTTTAGATTTTTAAAAGTTTTATTTTATTATATTCAATTGTTATCGTAGTTCTTCGTCGTCGTTAATCACAAACGACTAAAGTCAAAGTCGTCGTAACTTAAGCGTAAAGTGAAAAGTGAAAGCGAAGCGAGGTGCGTACCTAACTCACCGTCGTGCATCGGATCGATGGTATGTATCATTAGCTGCAGCAGACCGTGGCGGAACTTGGCGGTGGGTGGTGGCACTTTGCTGGAGCCAGCCGTAGCGGGTGCCGTCGCTGTCGCAGTGTTTGTGCCTACTGACGTTTCACTGGACGTGGTTGCGTTGCCGTGCTGTTGAAAAAATATTAATCGTTACATATCATATATTTTAAAATATATAAAATTTGACCTGCTCAAAGTTCATAAAGTTTATTAAACTAAGTTTGTATAAAAGGGTAACCCCTTTAATATTAAGTATTTTACTACTTACTTAGTAGTAGTACTTTAGTTTACTTTTAGTTTACTTTAGTTACTTAGTACTAGTACTTTATAATATTAAGAAATTTATGGATGATAATAACCACTGGTGATAGGTGATCGCTACCAAGCTATTTCTAATTTGCTGTGTTGTTAAAATTGTGTAACATTAATTTGTAATGTAAGGTTGTAAGATTATATAAAAAAAATCTCCTTAACTTGTTAATCTGCAAAAGGAAAGTTTGTAAATGATCATCATGTTCATTGTCATCGGTTTACTGGGATCAGTTTACAGTGAAAATTTAACTATATGTAGCTTTGTATTTTCTTTTTTTTATTCGCTTACATATTTCTATATAAATAAAACGGTAGAATTCAGAGTCTGCAGTTGTGCGCGCATCACGGACAAACTACTGGGTAGATTTCAATTAGATTTTCTAAGTTTTATTTCTTAGACACTTGGCCCTTATCGAAAAGAAAAAAATATAGCGATATCTTTATCTTTATTTAATATAAAGTTATTAAAGTTTTAAGAAACATCGATTTTTATAAGCACTACGTTTCCGTTCAGTGATGTGTGTAAGCAACGCGAACGAAGTCGCGGGTATCAGCTAGTTCATAATAAATACATCAATCAAAAATTATCCTTATATATTCTTATAACATACATTATTATAGACATATTCTAATACAAGTAAAGAAAGAAAGTTAGATAAGCTTATTTTATTTAAACCGTGTCAGAGACTGTCAGGGCCACTGGAAATCAGCGTTATAGTTACCGCTACTCGTATGTTGTGTGCCATAACATTTGTGCATTTGTTTAGTAGTTTTTAGAATTTTAGTTTCTAAATTATTTCGTGTTATGTTAATATTTGACAGTTTTTAGGGTTCCGTACCTCAAAAGGAAAAAACGGAACCCTTATAGGATCACTTTGTTGTCCGTCTGTCTGTCTGTCTGTCTGTCAAGACCCTTTTTCTCAGGAACGGGTGGAGGACTCAAGTTGAAATTTATATCAAATCCTCAAGTTTACTGTCTCTTGTAGCTGTGAAAAAAACTTCTAAGCCAACGCAATCAAAAGATACAGCCGTTTATGTCGCAAATTTACGACATTCGCAAGGAAATCAAAACCTACAGGGTACTTCCCGTGAACTCAGAATCTTAAAATTTGGTACAAAGCAACTTACAGATATAGGAAAAATTACGAAAAGCATAAATTTTTAGTTACATCATATAATAAAATTATTTTTAATAATTTTAAACTTATATACCTACGGATTTGTTCGGAACCCTCGGTGCGCGAGTCTGACTCGCACTTGGCCGGGTTTTTTAATAAACGAAAAAAAGAGAAAGAATGATTTTGAATTAAATAAATTATTTTAGTATTATTATTATTATATGGACGAAAATATTGAATGGATGTGTTGTGTAAAAACTTCGTTGAGGCAAACTAGTTTTTCAATACTAGAATTTTATAATACCCAGCGGCGCGGCGTCAGTAAGAAGTTGAAACTTTGCAAATGAAAAGCGTATGTTCTGCAACTGCGCGTCGACTTGGGTGAGATATACGTCTATAAATGGACCGCTAGATTGTGGTCGACGAGCAAATATAATTTTAAAGAGCCTACAATTTTATTTCAGAAATAAATTCTCGTTTTATTCAGTCAGCGCACTTTCATAGTTAGTGTTGTTAATAATGATGGCCTCGAATACTTGGAGAGTGCAGCGAGAAAATGAAAAACAGCCTGTTGGAAAATGAGTATCTTTACAAATATTGATATGTTAGCTTTTATAGATATTATCAGATTTCAAGCGGTAGAGATTTTTATTAGACCCTGAGTTGAAACGATTTTTGCGGATTGTTACATGCATAATAAAATATTTATATACATATTTAAATCTACACAACATTTTGCATCTCCATAGTATAAAGTGTATCCATGCATCTCTTTAAACGGTTAGCGCAGCCGCTTCACAAGATATCACACCTTCATTTCGAAACCGTTACTAAACGAAATTTTCACGAAATTGAGATAATAACGTCATTTTACTTAAATCGACAAAATCTATATAATGAACTATTTATATCCCAATATTTTGGTAGATAGCGTTAAATGAAAACGCTACTAAACTTAAAATTAAAACATAACTCCAGACGAAACCGTTACTACACCAATTGTAACCTGTCCCTTAAGGAGTCGACATACAATTTTATAAAAAAAATTGTAACTATTTGTTTAAATACGGCTGTTAAATTTTGTCATTGGGGTAAATTATTTACTTATTTTTAATTGATAAAGTGTGGTTTTTGGTTTAGTCACAGTTTTAACTTAGAATGTATACTTTAATTATTCAAATTTAGTACCATAAACTGTTACTTTTTTCTTTTTAATTTACATTCTGGATAAAATAACGACATTAATATTTAGCATAAATTAATGATTATTTGTTTAGTAGAATTTTTGAGTAAATAAATTATCGAGTTTATTGTTTCGATTATTACAAGTGTGACTTTTATTATATTTATTTTATGATCCCCTTCATAATATCGTAAATGAAAATTCGCATAGTCGTGAAACGGCTCCTGAAATGCCATCTGGTTTTGAAACTGAATCAACAAATTGTTCGTGTGCTTCTAAACCTACTGTGCAAACTAACAAATCTCCTCTTGAAATGCAACCACTGTTAATAAATTATGCTGATTCTGAAGAACTGAGATCATCTACTGCAGCCGCACCTTTAATAAATCTTATAAAGAATTCGTGGGTGTTAATAATGTACATCCAGAAAATGAGATGATGCCGGTGACAGGTAGACAATTTTCTGTCGCTATCACAAACAAACCAGTTTCACTCATAGATGTCACCGGCATCATCTCATTTTCTGGATGTAATGTGTGGTCTACACCAAGGTCTGATTCTTTTAGCTCTGGTACATCTTCGTCAACAGGTAGGTACCTAAAGTTATACCTAATTTTTTTTTACGATCAAATAAGGACTTTTCTCCTGATAAAGCAGATAACGACACTGACTACGTAGAACCAGTTGCATCTACACGACGTGTTTCAACATCTTTATCTAACTCTTCTTTTAGACATGATAATGATATGCAGCAAGTACATGTCGAAGCTTTGAGTCACGAGGTAGTCAAGTGAGGTTTTCAAGAAGTTGGTCCAATTCAGCAGCCAAGTGTGAGTACCTCTTGCACATGTAAATGCAAAATAAACATTGATTGATTTATTATTGTAAGGGATTAATGTTTGGGGAATAACATTTTTGGTTTAATTGCCATAAAAGTACTATTTTAAGTTATTTTGAATAAATATTGATTTGAATTATTATGTTTTAATTGACCTGTTTTAATATATCTGTGAAATATATTTTCATATAATAGCTAGAATTCTATTTTTAATATAGTAACATTGTTTTTATACTAACTTTATATAATTAAACCATAATTGAAAAAATAAACAATGCAAAAGTGTTATTATAAAAATTGAAATAATTATAAAAAATAATTATGGAATATTAAATTAAAATGACTACACATCTTAAAAACAAACCATTAATTTTACAAATAATCTCAGAAATATCTCATAATGTGTTCATTGATTCTTAATAAGAGGTAAATAGTAATGCAAAAATCGTAAATTAGCTCTCCTGCAAAATTTAGTTTTTTTTTGTATTGTAACGGTTTCGAAATGAAGGTCCGATTATATGAAAACATTTGAAACTATTTCAAGCAACATGCGTTATATAAAGAGATATATATATATTTTATATATATAGATATATAGATATTTTAATAGTGCAGTTATTTTGTAAAAATGAATTTTTATTAAAGTGAAATGTCAAACAACACATAGGAAACAAAATCAACAAAGCTAGTATAACTTTCTGGCAGTGCAGAAACATGATTGGCCAAAGGTGGGGTCTAACGCTAAAAACCATACTGTGGCTGTACAAAACTGTAATTCGGCCCATTACCACATACGGCACACTGGTATGGTGGACCAAGATAAATGAAACCACCAGTATAAAGAAGCTTCAGCGTTACCAGAGACTGGCATGTATGGTTGCCACAGGCTGCATAAGGACTACGTCAACAGCAGCCTTAGAAGCTGGAGCTAACCCCGCTTCATCTACATATACAACAAGAAGCGACTTTGGCTGCCATCAGACTCAAGACCTTAAATCTTTGAAGTAAGAATAGTGTCCCTCTTACAGGTTTTTCTAATTCCTATCTTACAAGCCAAGTACGATAAGATCCCTAAATAATTTGTAGTCGATAAGAAGTACAAGATACAATTAAATGAAACCAGCCAGCCGGAAAGATTACGCCCAAAAGAGCTTAGAGTTTTTACCGATGGTTCTAAAACAAATGAAGGTGTAGGGTCTGGAACTTTCTCTGAAGGCCTCAATGTCCACATATACACACCACTGGGTACCCATAACACAGTCTTTCAGGCGGAATGTATGCGTATCATTCAAGCGGCCATAGCAATAGATGCTAGGAAGGTTAATGACTTCTCCATCAGAATACTGAACGACAGTAGGGTGGTACTACAAGCTCTGAGTTGCAATGTGGTGAACTCGGGACTAATGTATGAATGCCATCAACGATTAAATGAGGTGTGTAAAAACAACAATGTGACCCTGCAATGGATAAAGGGACATAGTTGATCCAGAGGCAACGATGCAACAGAAGAAATGGCCAAAAGAGAATAGGGCCGGAAATAATCACACCAATCCCCTTTGGTAACGTTCGTTCACTGGTACGAAGACACTTCACTAATCAACACGCTCAACTTTGGGAAAATCTAGTAGACTGTAGAAGAGCTAGGGAGGCCCTGCCTGAAATAAACAGTCGTTTAACC